TATAGTTTGATAAGCCCGTTGAATAGCTAAGTGGAGATGTTAAACAGGCATTTAGGTATATGAGTCCAGTGTCAGGAAGATGTTTAGATTAGAAATAAAACCATGTGAGTATTTAAGAAAGTGATAATATTTCAAGCCCTGGGACTTAATGGGAATGCTAGGAGAGTGAATGTAAATTTATTTAAAATTTCGTCATGTATTTAACAAGCACATCCCAGCACTGATCTCAGTTATTTGCAAGTACAAACTCATGTAATTCTCATAACAGTCCTAGGTATTGGGTACTATTTTCTCCTTTTATAAAGAAGGAAACTGAAGCATACAGAGGTTAAGTAACTTGCTTAAGGTCCCAAATAAATGGCTAACAAGTGATAGATCTGGAATTTCTAATCAAGGCAATTTAGTTCCAAAGTTTTTGTTAGAGAAGTTGTCTAAAGGCCCAAAGCTTTAGGAACTACAAAATTTAGAGGTTAAGGATATGAGATAGATCAGTAAATCTTATTCATAGCAGGTAACACATTTTATTTCCCCATAGAAATTCTAACTCTGTCATAGACACAGACTCTAGGGCAAAAACAATGCTTTGTTCCTTTCATGCTTTTCTGTATTTTTTGTAACAAGCAATATTAATTATAGATTCACAAAATATTGCATTAAAATAATAGAAATAGAGAGGTTTTTTAAAACTTGGTTTCAATGGATACATGTCATTCTCTGTTTACAACACAGCTCAATGAAAAGATGCAGTGATAGTGACTATTAAAATACTGAAGAGAAGCTCTCTGCTTGGAGTATGAATAGAGTTCACATACATTTACCATCCAAACTGTAACGCTTCTTCAGAGTGAAAGGGGCACTCTCAATTATTCCATGACAACAGGTTTAAGTTAGAACTACTCTAAACATACCCATAGTGACTGTCATTATCAACAGGCAGCCTCTTCATTAAAGCTAGAGATTGCGGGAACACAGGGAGCAGACTCTTATCAGATCCATGCACACTACCACACATTGTGCCACCTTCTTAATGTTCCTTGTGGATTAAATATGCCTTTGTTTGTCATTATTGATATTTACTCTTTTTACTACTTGTTAGAACTAGGTTTTAAAAACAAACTGAGCAGCACCTGTATGTCATTCCAGGTGGCTACTGGAGATAACTCTATTTGGGGCTCATTAGTGCTTTAAGATGAGAAATAATAACTCAGCAGTCCCCCCTTATACCTGGAAGATACATTCTAAGATCCTCAGTGGATGCATGAAACCATGGATAGTACTGAACTCCATATATATATACAAGTTAAAGTTTGCTTTATAAATTAGAGATAATAGGGGTTAATAACAACAACTAGTAAGAAAATAGAACAATTAAGTAAAATAGGAGTTACCTGAATACAACACTATGATACCACAACAGTCACCCTGATAACCAAGATGGCTTTTAGGTGATTAAAGGGCCAGTAGCATTTACAGCATGGCTATTCTGGACAAAGGGATGATTCACATCCCAAACAGGATAGCATGTGGTTTCATCATGCTATGCAGAACAGCACACAATTTACAATTTATGAATTACTTCTGGAATTTTCTATTTAATACTTTTGGGCCACAGTTAACCATGGGTGACTAAAACTTCAGAAAGTAAGACCAAGTTAAGGGGGAATTATTGTGCAGATTTCAACTATTTTGATGATTAAGCCTCATTTCAAGAATTTAAAATAAATATTTAAAACTATATATATAAATATAATTTAATAAGCAGTCACTTTACTTAGCGATTAAATACTATATTTATAAACATTCAAAAATTTTATTTATTCCTATTCTAATTTAAATGAACTGGAAAAAGTCTAAGTATCCACTTTTACTAAGATACTTTTAAGATTACATACATATTAACTTTAGTGTGGAATTGTATGTGCAAAATGGAAATACAAGGGAATATACTGTACCTTGTTTTACCTGTAAGGAACACACACCTGACAAAAGGCAATTTTCACATCCAAGGTTGGTTCACTGCAGTAGTATAAGAAATGGAGGCTCATAAATACCTATCGGGAAAAAAATGGACATAAATTTCCAAATCAGTAATTTTTCATTACCTAATAGTATAGATTTTAACATAATTTGAATTATATACATGATGTTGTACACAAAATATATTCAGCATAAATGTTACCTGGATAAGTACCAGGTACTTTTCACAAATTTTAAATATTAAAGAAAAAAATGAGGTAAGAATAGCCTATGTTTTATGGTGGTCGAGGTCATCACAATCACAAGATGAAAGAAATTGTTTGGACACCTGAGTTAAAGTGAAGTGCATCTCATTGTGTAGCCTGTTCAGTTCTGGGCATCTAATTATAAAAATACCTCAAACATATGCTCAAGAGAATATATACAAAGATGTTTACTATAGCATAAAAGTACTGTTAAATAAATATAATTTACTATAGAAGTCTATACAGAACTTGGAATAATTAGGTTAGCACTTATTATATTCACATAGATAAATTTTTCTTTTTTTATTGAGCAATAATAAAAATAATGCAAAAAAAGTAACATTCACATTATCAGATGATTATATCTGTCATAGAATGCTTTGACTCTGAGGTTCAGTATGGAGTCATCAGTTAACGTCTTCTTATTTTTTTCCCAAAGTCTCAAAAAGCAAACAATTAATATTTATAAATAAAAATAAAAGATAATTTCAGAAAACAGATGATGCCAAATCTTAGAGACAATAGAAAAATAAGAAATACTTCAAAATCATTCTGCCTCCTCTGGATACACCTGATATTAAAATTGGAAACAACATATTATTATAAAGGGAAATTACAAACATATTTCATTTATAAATGAGGATGCAATATCCTAAACAACATATTAACAAGTTGAATTAAAAATTAATGTTCAAGTAATGTACTTTGGTCAAAATTAAAACCAATTGATGTGAGAATTAGTCACTATTTTCTTTTCTTTTTTTTTCTTTTTCTTTCCCTCACCCCCTCCCTCCTTCTCTCTCTGTCTGCTCTCCCCTTCACCCATGCCTCATCATGTCATTAATTGTCATTAATTGTCCTCTTATCAAAGTTGAATACATAGGATTCATGCTTCTCCATTCCCGTGATGCTTCACTAAGAATAATGTGTTCCACCTCCATCCAGGTTAATACAAATGCTGCAAAATCTCCTCTTTTTAATGGTGATATAGTATTCCATGGTGTACATACATACACCATACAAGCTGGTGTACCACAGCTTGCCAATCCATTCCTGGGCTGAGGGGCCTTAGGTTGTTTCCACATTTTAGTGATTGTAAACTGAGCTGCGATAAACAGTCTAGTACAAGTGTCTTTATAATAAAAGGGTTTTTTCCCTTCTAGATAGATGCCCAGTAATGGGATTGCAGGATCAAACAGGAGGTCTAGGTTGAGTTCTTTGAAGATTCTCCATACTGCCTTCCAAAAAGGTTGTATTAGTTTGCAGTCCCACCAGCAGTATAAAAGTGATCCTTTCTCTCCACATCTGCGCCATCATCTGCAGTTTTGAGATTTTGTGATATAGGCCTTTCTAGCTGGGGTTAGATGATATCTCAGGGTGGTTTTAATTTGTATTTCTCTAATAATTTGGGATGATGAGCATTTTATCATGTGTTTTCTAGCCATTCATCTGTCTTCTTTAGACAAGGTTCTGTTCATCTCTCTTCTTCATTAATGTATAGGGTTGTTGGGTTTTTTGTTATGGATTAATTTAAGTTCTGTATAGATCCTAGTTATTAAGCTTTTGTCTGATTCAAAATATACAAATATCCTTTCCCATAGGGCAGGTTGTCTATTTGCTTTGGTTGTTGTCTCCTTAGCTGTACAGAAGCTTTTCAGTTTAATTAAATCTGAATTAAATTTGTTTATTTGTTTATAAAAATAAACCTTAGGGAAACAAAATCTTTTATAACAGGTAGTAATTATGCTATTTGTTTGTTTATTATTGCTATTGTTGCTATTGCCATGGCAGTCTTCTTCATAAAGTATTTCCCCAAGCCACTATCTTCCAGTGTTTTTCCTATTGTTTCTTTGAGGATTTTTATCATTTCATGCCTTAAATTTAAGTCCTTTATCCATCTTGAATCAATTTTTGTGAGTGGAGAAAGGTGTGGGTCCAGTTTCAGTCTTTTACATGTGGATATCCAGTTCTCCCAGCACCATTTATTGAATAGGGAGCCTTTCCCCCAGTGGACGTTCTTATTTGGTTTATCGATGATTAGGTGGTTGTAAGTTGTTCATTTCATTTCCTGGTTTTCTATTCAATTCCAAATGTCTATGTCTCTATTTTTGTGCCAGTAGTATGCTGTTTTGACCACTATGCCTTGTAGTACAGCCTAAAATCTGGTATGATTATACCCCCAGCTTTTTTTTTATTACTAAGAACTGCCTTAGCTATATGGGGTTTTTTCTGGTTCCATACAAAATGCAGAATCATTTTTTCCAAGTCTTGAAAATAGGATGTTGGTATTTTAAAAGGGATGGTGTTGAATCAGTAGATTGCTCTGGGAAATACAGACATTTTAACAATGTTGATTCTTTCCAGCCATGAGCATGGTATGTTCTTCCATTTGTTAAAGTCCTCTGCTATTTCCTTTCTTAGGCTTCAAAATTTTCCTTATAGAGGTCCTTCACCTCTTTTGTTAGGTATATAGGTAAATTTTTTGAACATGATGTTGAATGGTAGCAAGTTTATAAAGGGTATGAAGATTACTATATTAGCATAAAATTGCTAAACATACTAAAAGGAAAACATAGATTGCTTTTAAGTACATAGAGTAAAGACAATTGGGTACCATCCTAACATGTTTTTAATCTTGGTGAGAAGATTTCAGTTATATTATTTACTGTATCTTCAAACTATTTGATAACTGTGCAAAGTTTTAAGAGGAGGAAGAGTCACGTATCAGTGCTAAGGCCAAGTTAGGTACTGGCTTCTTTGGGAATGATGCAGCAACATCAGAGAAACCCAGCTAAAATTCTGCTCACTTCAACTTTTCTGAATGTTTTTTGTGCGCAAGATAATTCTGTGAGATTAAACCATTTTAGAACCAGTATCAATGTGAGACTTCTGTTCCTGACAATGTGATTGATTAAATACCCCAAAAATCATTCTCAGTGCAAAACTCCTAAAAATGTCAGATGAAATATACAAAACATCCTTTAACATGCATAGAAGAGCTGGCAAAAAAGGCAAGAAATGTTCTAAGGAGCGGAACACAAGGTGAAAGGACGGACGCAGGGCCCCAGAGGAGCTGGGCTTCTGCCTGTCCCCGCCGCCTGCTGGGGACTGGTGACCAGAACTTTGGTTCTCACAGGGCAGCACAAGAATACAGGAACAAGTACAGGAACAAAGCTTAGACTACCCACAGTGGGATGTCATGCTGGAGATGCCAATTGAGCCAATACAGGAAGTATTTCCTAAACTTCAGGAGAAAGAAAAATAATCCCAAGAGGAAAGAAGTTCTGAATTATAAAATAAAATGTTTTGCATCAAATGCTGTGACCTTGATGTGCAGATTTTTTAAAGTTAAGGGAGAATGAAAGGACAAGGATATATAAGACATTCCTAAAGAAGAATCAGAGGAGTGTTTTCCTGGGGAAAGGGAGGGAATTGCTCTACAAGATCTATTGTAAAGCTATAATATGTAAACGTAGGTGAGATTGATGGAGAGACAGCCTAAAATGGGTAAAACAGAGCCTAGAAACAGACACGTACCTATATGGAAACCTGATTGTGTTAAGGACTGTATCGCAGACATCTGAGGAGAAGGAACTGTGCATGAATCAGGCTGAGAAAATCGATCATTTCTATGGGGGAATGAAAGCAGATGCCTGTTGGAAGACAGTTTTCTGTGGGCCTCACATTTCTGCACATCTTTCAAACAGAAGCTCTGGCTGCCTTTGTTCAAGAATACCTTCTCAAAGATAGCCTTGAAAGATAGAGACAGCATCTCCCTCTGCAGCAAAGGGGAAGTTTGATGACTCTCCAGTATTATAAAAATAAAGTATCTCTGGGGCAAATGGTAGGCATAATTACTGCCCGTTACAAAAGATTTTGTTTCCCTAAGGTTTCTCTTCAATAATGCAACCCACTGTGTGTGCAGTTGTCACCTGACCTTTGCATCACCCTGCTGGACCTGTGGCCCGAGGAACCACATGAATGCTGATACTCTAGCTGCTGTTATTTCTGTGAGTGACAAAGACCCTGTCCCAGGAATCTTACATCTTCTGCCAGTACCCATGAACCTGTGTCAGACTAACTTGCGAGCTTGTAAGCAAAGTAACATCTTAGACTCTCCAGAGTTCTTGACAATCCCTACCTCGGGTGATACACATAAAATAATTCCTGACAGATTAATAACTTTAGGGAAGACCAAACTTTAAATAATACAGAGACATAGTTGACTATGTCTGAGAAATACATCATAAGTAATATATGGATATATCAAGCTTTAAAGAAAAGTATTAATAAAATATAGCAAAATAATGATATGTTTATGAGAAAAGAAGTTCACAAATTTGGAAAAATATTTTGAGATAGCTATAACCAATGGAAAATTTTTCCAGAATCTATAAAGAGCTTCTTAAAAAAAAAAAAAAAGACAAATGCCCCAAAAGAAAAATAGACCTCCCCCCCAACAAAAGAATGTCATGGAAAAAGAAATATAATAAGCCTTGTAAATATATGTGTACAAGAAAACCACATTGAAATACTATTTTATGTCCATCAAATTTGTCAAAAACTGAAGAGTATGATAATATTTAGTATTTACAAGGAGGTTGACCAAGGGGAAATATTTATATATTGCTGATAGGTAAGGCAATTGGATAACTAAATTTAGGGGAAAATATAACAATTTAACAAAGTTGTGCATAACCTAAAACTCAATACATCTACACATATTCCTAGAGAAATGCTTATGTTTTACTACCAGGATGCATGCATAAGCAGGCTTATCAGAATACATTTGTAATAGCAAAATTAGTTAATTAATTAATTAATTAAAA